CCCCGCCCCACTGTGCCTGTGCCTCTAACCTGCCCAGCCCCCATCCCCAGCCTGCAGGCCCTGCCGACTCCCTACCTGGGGGAAAGGGGTGCCCCAACCAGGAGATGCCGGGACCAGAGGGATTCCCAGGCCATACCCGCACCTCCCTCGGGGGGCTTGGAAACTCAGAATCGTCCCGTGGTCTCTCAGCTTCTGTGCCTGAGCCACCGATAAGCTGGGGTTAAACAGGCCATCCCTCCCCGCTCAGGCCCTGTCACTGGCCCTGCGCCCAGTGGCCACTGGGTCACCTCCGTTGTCAGCCCTCTTTCTTTGTCTCTGCCATTGCCTCTGCCTGGGATGCTCTACCCCTGGCTGGGGCCGTGGAGAGGCCGTCTCTGACCCACCCCCCAGCTTTGGTAGCACCTCGAAGTTCATTCTCCACCTCTGACACTGATCTTGGCCCTCGGGGTCAGGCCCAGAGCAAGTGCCCACTGACTCAAGCACTGCAGCCCGTTCCCATCTTAAAGAAATGGGAAACTGAGGCTGGGAGATGGACGTCCCTGGGACGAGGCCACACAGCCTGCGACGGCAAAGTCAGGCCCAGCCACTGTTGTGTGCTGACCACACTGAGAACCTCACCAGCCGACAGTCTTCCTAACTCTCTGGCCTGCTGACCCCACCCCCCCAACCCAAGGAGCCCCTGAAGGTGTGTGGAGGGCTGCCCTACCATCTCAGGTTCCTTGTTTCAAAGACCGTCTCCTCGTCGCTGTCCAGCGATGCCATCTCGGTGGGGTCCTCGGTGTTGGCCAGGAGCCCGTATCTCCTCCGCTGCGGCTTTTTCAATCTGGAAGCAGACCCAGGCTCGCTCAGCGGCCCTCTCATGGCCCTTCAGTGGAGCTGCTGACACCCTGCCCTGCTTCCCACCTTCTCCGATAATGCTCGTCTCCTCAACTCCCAGAGTCTTGCTGTGAACTTTCCAGTTCCAACTGCGTTTCTTCTCATAATGGTCACAATCATTATCAGTTGCTGTCCACATCTCCCTTGGCAGGCCCCCAGGGCGTAGGCCCTTGGGTGAGGACCCCTGGGAGGGGGGCGCTGTAATTCCATTTTACTAATGAGACGACTGAGCCTTAGAGAGAGTTTGCCAAAGATATCAAGTAGAAGGCTGTCATGGGCAGAAGCCCCGGCTCCTGACCACCAGGAAAAGCACGGGACCCTCTGTGGTGGATGTGGCACGTATTCAGATGGGAGACGAACATTGTGTACCCACAGCAGTATCAATGCAAGACAGAAACGGCCCCTTCAGAGCATCTGGATATGATCAGCTCTGCGTGACAAAGGCCCTCTGGAGATCAGCCCCAGAAAGGAAGCCAAACGGGGAGGACAGGGGTCTGAGGAGGGGGTCACGGGCCTGCAGGAGGCAGGGCATATGTCGCGGGGAAGGCAAGGGGGTCCTCAACTCTTGGGGAGAGCGTGGGCAGAACCTAAACGCTGACGATCACGGCCAGCTCTGGGCTGAAGAAACAGGAGGAGCAAGGTGCGGGGGTAGGTTCCCGCCGGGCCCTGGTCAGGCTGTGGGCGTTAACTACAGGGAAGGATGCGGCCAGGCCCGCGTGGCAGATGCAAGTTGGGTTAGTGGGCGCTGCGCTCGTCGTCACCGGGCTGGGGGAGCCGCAGAGGGTCCCGGGAATTCCCGGTGCCCTCATCATCCCGCAACCTCTACTCTCGGTGGCTGCGTCTAGAAAACCAACCCCAACATCCCGAAGGAGCGGCTCGTCACGTGATTACCTGACCCCACCCACTCACCACCCACGTCCCCACCCACGTGACGATGGAGAACCGTGCCGGAGAGGCGGGGCTCTCGCGCCGCAGCACTTGGGGCGCGAGGCGCGCGCCGATTGGCCGCGCCAGGGCAGCGGCGGCGGCGTGCGCCTGACGCACCTGAATGCCCGGATGAGGAAGTAGAGCACGGCCAGGACGATGAGGCCCGTGACCACGTAGAGGGAACGCAGAAGCGGCGAGTCCGGCGAGCCCAGCGGCCAAGGGTGTGTGCTGTTGTGCGGCGCGCCCGGCTGGCTCCCGTTCGTCACAGCGGGGTGCGGCAAGAGCGTGGCCTGCGTGCGGCGCAGCGACGCGGGCGTGGCGTCCGCGGCTCCGAACAGCCGCGCCGGCAGCAGCAGCGCCGACAGCAGCAGGAGCCGCGGTGGTAGCACACGCAGCCCCATAGCCCGGCGGAAGCGGTAGCCGCGCCCCGCCCCCGCGAGGAGCAGTCACTCACTG